AAAAAAAGTGGCAAAAAGAGTGGTTGAAAAGAGATACCGATAACAAAGGTACAAACAAAGCAAGTTAACAAAATTTTGGAAGGTTGGTTGGAGTGTGACCTGATGGACGAGTTGGAGTGTCAACACAAACACAAGTAAGTAAAAATGATTGGACACTTCACTTAAGTTTTCTATACCAAGCATCTTCCCACAAATTTGAAAAGATTGTATCATCAAACGTCAGGCCTTGCATGAAAATATTCTTACAGTTTTTTTTTTCTTTTTTTTTTCTCTAGAGTAATTTGAGTTCGATTTGGCCTATCATAATCCACGCTTGAATGTGTGTAAATAGGCTTTATGATGTAGGATTAGATAGACTTTATGATGATAACAAAGTCTTCATCGTAAATTCGTAATTCTATCATATGTTGCACGTAGTATACATAAATAAAATATTACTAATGATGATGTCGCAGATGACAAAAAAAAAGGTTTTATGAACCATTAGGAAAAAAACCGGGCTACGCCCGGGTGAATTAAACATTTGACAATTTAGTTCAGAAATGCATTTACAAAGCTATAAAACTACATTGACGACATAAGGAATCTTCCCCGCTTTTGTGTGAAATTTGATGGCAGCCTTCCCATCGACTTATAAGCTCAATGTAATTCTTTAGTGAAGCGGTACCATTTCTCCGACTTGAATAATCTATGGAACATAAGAAATCAATATTAGTTCTAAGCTAAGCTGTGGTGAAAATAAGGTTCGGAAACTCGCAGAAAAAACACGAACCTACTTAGAGAGAAGAGAGCAGTGATGAAACGTAACAAACGTTTTCATAATGCAAGTGGGAGCTAAGCTTAATCTTGGAGGGAGTTTTCTTTCCACTAATTTAGTAATTAAATGCATAATATACATTCCTTACTAAGAACAATTTCTTATTTTGAAGTTATTAGTAAAGAACATTTACAATGTAAAAAAAAAAAAAACATTTACAATGTGCAGTGTATCTGAAGAGATAGCGGTAGCTCTCTAAAATGAATAAACTTATGCATTAACATTTCACCATATATCATAGAGGTAGCTTTACGTATTCACCCCACGGGGCATGTTGGAGTTTTTCAGGACTATACTGAAATAAGATTTTAAAGCTTAACTGACCAACGAACCACATATATATTATATGAACGTACTTTTATTTTCGATTATCTGCAAAAACATAGTAGTTGCAAAGATATAGTAGTCGGTAAAAGTGAAACCTATTTGCAAGTTCCTTTCCCGTAAGATCGGTTGATACCATTACTCTCGTCTCTGTAAAACGTGATTTCATCGTAATTGGTTTGCTAAAGCATTTACACATCAAGAGACTCAGCCAATACAATAACTGATCCTTTTGTAAGGAGTTTTAATCTGCATTTTTTGCTACAGTTTTATATTAGGGCCAACAAAAACCATTCACTTTGAACTTTCGCATTTTTGACTAACAAATCCCGACATTTTTTATCGAACTTCAGAAAAATACACATTCCAGAAACTCATAGAGGCATGAACATCAATACATGCTATGTGAATATTCATATTTACATACCGCTTAAGCAGATGGTCTCACCAACACCCTTTGATTCCAGCTCTTGGGCTCTTTCGATTTCCAAAAAAATTTAGGTAAATGCTTT